TTCAGGCTGAGTGACGTGAAGGTTGAGCTGTGACCTGTTTACTGCTGAGTGATGCAGTGCGCTGACCTTTCACACACACACACACACACACACACACACACACACACACACACACACACACACACACACACACACACACTCACAAACACACACACCAGTACACACACAGACACAAACACACACACACACACACACACAAACACCATTCGTCTTTGAGATGCTGTGATGGCATGACATCTGACATTGGACTACACCAAAGATCTCCTCAACAAATTATGATTTTAACCGTTGTATACAAGACCTCTGAGGTTGAAGAAGCCAAAATCACCGTTTTCCGGACACTGGATGTGTTTCAATCTAGGTACTTTTCATGCTACGGTTATTTCAGATGTGCACCGTTGTGGAAAGTATGTTATGTTAGAGTTTTGAGTTGTGAATTTATTCCTGTGCATTTATATATATTTTTCTTAGACTTAACAACCACAGATGTGTTTCCCCTTCATTACGAGCATCAGTTCATCTCCTCCAGCAGAAGCGTCTCGCTGTAAACTGAACTGAAGCAGGACTGAAAGCATGATGTGTGCAGAGACATGAGCCATTATCACTACAGCTCATCAATAGACTAATGGAGGGTGTGTTTGTGTGTTTGAGGCCTTCCAACACTTTCTTCCATTAGTGATCCTGTATTGAAAGCAAGAAAGGATTTTCTTTATGGCTTATCGAACTGTACATTACATCCTCCTCTGATTTATTTGCGTGTGCATGAGTGGGATTCGCCAGTTAGCTGTAACGTGATCTTATCACAATATTTGGTTTAGGATTTGATGCAGATTGCAATGTACTGGTGTGTGTGTGTGTGTGTGTGTGTGTGTTTGTGAGTGTGTGTGTGTGTGTGTGTGTTGCAGTATAGCAAGTGTTATTCCAATAACTCAGATTTAATCATCTCTTTTTTTTTTTTGACCTGAAAATATATGTAAATAGTAATATATTTCTGACATAATTTTCAAAATATGAGTTTCGGTATGTACAGTAGCTTTATAGCTGAAACAAACTTGTTTCATTATTGATGAACTTTAATTGCACCACTGACGCTGTCACTGAACTGAAATGAATCAGCACTGAACTAAACGGAGTTGAATAACGGCACTGTTGTCTGCTGCAGAGCTGCTTATAGCTGAAATTGAACTTGTTTCATAATTGCTGAATTTTACAACATTAGCTCTGTTGTTTTTCTGTTTATTCATTCAAAGCTGCTTCTGTATTGTATTAAATGCTTTGTAAATAAATGTGACTTCCTGTGAATGTGTGAAACTTCTGAATTATTAGTCACTACAGTTACTACTAGTTATAACAGAAGAATAACAAAGTCAAATAAGCAGAGCAGTTTATTAGTTTATGGTAAAACTGTGTAAAATTGATAAATATTTTACATGCAGTTTAAAATACATAAAGCTTACATATAGGCTCAAATATTTTTGAGTGTTTTTATAGACTTTTTATGCCCATATGCTTCCATATATGAAATGTATTGTCATATGAAGTAAAAACATACATGAAACCTATTAGAAATGTTCATACATTAACAGATATATCTAGCTTATGCAAATATGTATGTTTATGCACGTGTAATTCATTTTTGTACCCGTCAATACATGTTGATATTATATGAAATAAAAAGATAAATATAAAAGATAGACATGTATTTTAAAATTGTTTTACAAAAACATATACGTATACTGTTGACATACTGTATATAGTTGCTACATATAATACCATATTAAAAAAATCATCATATACATCATATAGATATTATTAACAAATGTGACCCTGGAGCACAAAAGCAGTCTTAAGTCGCTGGGGTATATTTGTAGCAATAGCCAACAATACATTGTATGGGAGTTTATCTGCTTTTATATTTTTATGAGTGTTTCCTTTTGTCCACATTTTTCACATTGTGGAAATCACAGTTAGAGACTCCAAACCTGAAATGAGTGTGTCAGGCCAAAGACACGTTCAGTATGTGCACTGTCATATCTGCTGTTGGTACTGTCACACATCTGCTCTCAAACATCAGTTATCTATATTTAAAAACACTGCACTGCAAAAACATGCCAAGGCCTTGATAGGCAAACTAAAAATAATCAATACATATCAGCTAGTTTTGCAGTAATATCCTGCATAATTCCCCTGAAATGAGTAAGGTGACAACCTGTGAATTATTAAAAAGAAAGCGCGGCAGGGCAGAGGTGGTGATGTGGCCCCGCACCGAGCAGAATCATTTTCACTTCATTAATTCAGCCGTCCAGACTCAATTATTCCACTCACACCACGCTTAACAAATATAAATGTGTTTATCTCAAGAAAAGTTTCACGTTTTTGCTTTCCTTATAAAGCTCTTGTGTGCAGAACTACCGATTGAGCATCTTAAATAGAAACAGCCCAAGCCACTCTTACTAGTCTGAAACCAGTGTGGAACTGAAAACACATGGAAATAGTCCATAACTGTGCAGTTAGAGAATATGAATCTAACAACCTTTCAACATCAACCAATCAGAATCAAGAACATAATAATGAGGGTACATCACACTCTATTACTCATTCACCCGTGCTTCGTTTTCCACTCCAATGTTCCAATAATTCCTGCCCACTAAAAGCTGCATGGATATTTTTGCTTACTGTACTCTGATAGGCCAATTTATGTAAACGATTTAGAGAAAGTTCAATAGATTCACACTTTATATTATCGCCATGATATGTGTTGTCATATCACCCAGCCATAACATGCAGTGATGCTTTAAACACATTTGACAAGCTAGTTGATAAAAAACAACAACCGATTAACAAAACTGATTGGCTAACGCTATTTCTTTCTCTTGTCAGTGCTCTTTTATTCTTTCATGTTACTGAAGACAAATCTGAATGATGAAATATTTTAACTTTAATCAACAAGTGCAATTGACCATGACATCCTCACCTTATCTTATTCCAGAAAAGTCACTCACCCCTGAACTAAACCAGCACCCTGATAAAGAGGTTGACTGGCACAAAGTATTTTATGTATTTTGAAAATACAAAAATTACAAATTGCATTTGTTTTTTCCAAAGGCTTTAAAATACAAAATAGTATTTTGTATTTCAAATACATATTTCAAATACCTGTATCTGAAATACTGCGCATCCCTGATTACTACGATACAATATTTGTTTATAAAACACATTTAAATACTAGCAAGGTTGACCAAAACAACAATAAATAAATAAAACGAGAAAACAGAAATAAAATGTATGACAAGCCACAAAACTGATCAATTCTGGCATTTGAAAGACAGTTGTTGAAAAGTAAATAAAGAAACACATTTAAAGCTGTTATAATTTATCTTTTAGAATAATAGTTAAAAAATTAAATTATAAAAATGTTCTGATGTAGCTGAAGAGTAATGTAGATGCTTCAATGAGAGATATTTGCTTGTAATTTAGAGAACTAATTTAGTTATTTTCAGATAGTTTAACACAGCGTTGAGACCAATGTGTTTGTTTTGCTCTCATATTCATAGTATTTTATGTATTTTGAAAATACAAAAATTACAAATTGCATTTGTTTTTTCCAAAGGCTTTAAAATACAAAATAGTATTTTGCATTTCAAATACATATTTCAAATACCTGTATCTGAAATACTGCGCATCCCTGATTACTACGATACAATATTTGTTTATAAAACACATTTAAATACTACAAATTGCATTTGTTTTTTCCAAAGGCTTTAAAATACAAAATAGTATTTTGTATTTCAAATACATATTTCAAATACCTGTATCTGAAATACTGCGCATCCCTGATTACTACGATACAATATTTATTTATAAAACACATTTAAATAATAGCAAGGTTGACCAAAACAACAATAAATAAATAAAACGAGAAAACAGAAATAAAACTATAAGTACAAATATATGAATAAATAAAAATGAGAAAAACAGAAATAAAACTATTTTTTGCATGAGAAATACAAAAACAACAACAGTATAGTACAATAGTAAAACACTGATCACATCGGTGGTCTAGGAACACTGAAGCAATAAGTATGTCATCATCAGTGTATAAGTGAAAATATAATCCATACTTATTAAACATGGACACCAGAGGGAGCATATACAGGGAAAACAACACCGGTCCGAGGATTGAGCCCTGCGGGACGCCACAATTAATATTAGAGGAGGAGTGATGATCAGTATGAACAGCGAATCACCTGTTAGTAAAATAAGAACAGAACTAATACTGTACCATGAAGACCCACTGATATCTCCAAACGGGTCAACTGGACCTCATCGCTGACCAAATCAAACACAGCACTCAGATCTAATAAGACTAAAGCCCTGGACTTCCCAGAGTTGGTTTTAGTAAAGATATCATTTGAGACTCCTAAGAGAGCAGATTCAGTACTGTGCAAAGCATTAAAACCCAATTGAAATATTTCATGAAGAGAATTTACAGTCAAACACGATTTTAATTGATACACTACAACTTTTTCAAGGATAAAAGGTAGATTCAAAACAGGACGAAAATTAGACGGAGAGGAAGACTCAAGGTTAGGTTTTAAGATATGGAGTCACAGCATGTTTAAGGCGGTTAGGGAAGGAGCCAGTAGATAAGAATTTGTTGATGACCAATAACAGACCAAAACCGACCGTTTCGATGGTTTGTTGTGCTAAAATAATGTTATAATACCACTGAAAGAGCGGGACTCGACTCTCCAATCTCATGAGCCAATGAAATTCATCATATAAACCAAGAAAAGCAATATTTACACAGAGATTTGCGGTAGGCCTCTGTTGTCTGTGAACAGTTCACTGCACACTCAAGAGCCAAACACAACAAGACAATCTCATCTTCATTAATCAATCAACAATCTCCACCTAATTAAGCAGTAATTACAGAGCTGGGCATGAGGCCAGCACAGATCTAAGAGTGATCCGCAGGAGTGTAACAGAGACGCTCCTACCTCAGCGGCGCGGCGCTCGAGCGGATCCATCTCGTCCTGACGGGCCGTGTGTTTCAAAGCTCCTGTCCGCTGTGCTCGCTCGCTCGCTCGCGCTCCAGGACCAGGTCAAGCTCTGTGGATTCTGGGATATGAAGAGCACAAGGTGAAGTTTTAAAGGTTTAGATATGTCGGTGTAACATGTAATCTGAATGAGATTTCAAACTGCTCACAAACCTAATTCAGTGCTTCTTCAGTTCACGTTAGAGACTTTCAGCAACTGAACATTTTCACAAATTTTGTGTTCAAATATTTATCACGTGTCGTGGAATAAAGATCATGGCCTTCAAGTGGATATTTGGTATTGTGTGTGATGACAATGACACTTGTTGGAGAAGTCTTGGAGTTTTACTAATACAACAATTTAATTAACTGTCAATTAAAGCGATAATTCACCCCAAAAATCAAAAATCATCATTTACTCACCCTCTACTTGTTCCAAATCTACATGAGTTTCTTTCTTCTGTTGAACATAAAAGAAGATATTTGGAAGAATGTTGATGACCAAACAGTTGGCGGTAGCCATTGACTTCCATTGTAAGGAGAAAAAAAAATACTATGGAAGTCAATGGCTACCGTCAATTGGTACCAACATTCTTCAAAATGTAAAATAACAACATGAGGGTGAGAAAATGGTTCCAAATTTTTCTTTTTTTCTTCTCCTTCGTCTTCATTTTTGGGTGAACTATCCCTTTAACTTTGCATTTAAAAATATAAAAATAAATGGAGTATTTGTGAATCCAATCTACTCAATGTCATAATGAAACAGAAACATGTTTGGAAAACTCAATTGTTATCTCGATCCTTAGCTTGATGGCAGTGACAGAGCTAACGGTGGCAACTATGTTATATGTTACAAAAATTGTACGCCTAAAAACAATGGTGAACTTAAGCAATAATGTGTAAAGTGCTAAGCTGAATTTGCCTAATTTAAAAGCGTTTTGTACATTAATAATAAAGGGGAAGTTCAAAGGATTGGATGGATGACAAGCCACAAAACTGATCAATTCTGGCATTTGAAAGACAGTTGTTGAAAAGTAAATAAAGAAACACATTTAAAGCTGTTATAATTTATCTTTTAGAATAATAGTTAAAAAATTAAATTATAAAAATGTTCTGATGTAGCTGAAGAGTAATGTAGATGCTTCAATGAGAGATATTTGCTTGTAATTTAGAGAACTAATTTAGTTATTTTCAGATAGTTTAACACAGCATTGAGACCAATGTGTTTGTTTTGCTTTCATATTCACTGCGCTAAGATATGAGCTGCGTTCACATTCACACTAGAGTAATGAGTGACCTGTCACTAAACTCTTAAATGCAACTACTGAAAGCCAACCAACACAAACTGCATTAGAGTTAAAACATCCTTGAGGCTTAAACACGCGAATAACAGTCTGAAGAGCTAGAGGTTTACACGTTTTACCTGTGCAAAACTCACATCAATAGCACAGATGCATTAACTCAGATATACTGTACATGGTAATAATGACACTTGCCTTTGCAAGCATCACCAGTGAGACGTCACCAAACGACAGCATGTCAAGTCTCACAATATTCACGATTCTGTTTGTTCAATGTGCATTTCTCAGCATCACATCATTATGACACAAGCATGTTTAAAGTTCTCTCACTCACATTCTGGCTTGTTCTCCAGCAGCAGCTTCTGCGTGCGATGTCGTGGACGGCTTCTGTCTCGCTGCTGATGGCCGTTTCTATGACAACAGACAGCATGAGACACCAGAACTGAACACGGTGTGCGTGATCATTAAGGAAAAGTCTCAGCTCTAGAGGGAAAACCACAGTGTGTTGACTTCCAAATAAGTTCCGGAGCAGGATGTGAAATGATTTCAGTTTGATGAGAAAATGTTCATGAGTGCAGGGTATAAACCATCTTCTAGGGTGAGCTTTCCCTCTGTAATATGCAGCTATATTCTGGGATTTTGTAATAATAATGTCATGTGTATGTAAGTATAAATTTATGATTTCCTTCACCTTTCTAGCTTTAGCTTCTGGTGGCTCTTCAACACAGCTGAGTCGATGAGATGCGTCTTTCCGTCTGAAAAACAAAAGCAATCAATAGTCATCTACCCAGTTATGCCTTTATGACTAATAAAATGGCAGTATTTGACTGTATGAGGTGATTCCTGATGTTTTTTTAAACCTGAGACTTGTCCTAATGTAAATCAGCCCTTAGATGTCATTTACAAATCATTTACACACCTTCATGTTGTTTCAAACCCATATGACTTTCTTTCTTTCTTCTGAATATATGGAAATGCATATCATTGCTTAGCTTATTTAGCTTTCTATTTAGTGTATTTGTGACCCTGGAGCACAAAACCAGTCATAAGGGTCAATTTTGTGAAATTGAGATTTATACATCCTCTGAAAGCTTTATAAATAAGCTGTCCATTGATGTATGGTTTGTTAGGATAGGACAATATTTGGCTGAGATACAACTATTTGAAAATCTGGAATCTGAGGGTGCAAAAAAATCTAAATATTGAGAAAATCATCTTTAAAGTTGTTCAAATTAAGTTCTTAGCAATGCATATTACTAATCAAACATTACGTTTCGGTATATTTACGGTAGGAAACTTACAAAATATCTTCATGGAGCATGATCTTTACTTAATATCCTAATGATTTTTGGCATAAAAAAAAATCGATCATTTTGACCCATGCAATGTATTGTTGGCTATTGCTACAAATATACCCCAGCGACTTAACACTGCTTTTGTGCTGCAGGGTCACATTTATCTTATTAGTACAGTATCTCGTGCTAGTTAACTGGTAGTCTGTGCATTCATCGCAAAAGGTTATAGTGTCAATTCTTTTTATCTACTAATTTCATTCCTCCTGTGACCACTTTAATATGTTCCGGTGAATACGGACTAAATGAAAAGACTCAAGGTGTCAGAGAGAGGTGAGGATATTTCAGAAGAACAGTGAACACAACAACATCTCTGTGTCAGCATCACATGAGAAATGCACACGTCTTGGACTGAGCTCATGAAGTTTCAGAGGGTTTGTGGTGTAATGCAGTGCAGGTAATATCAGGAGCACACTGAGGTGACATCTCCATCTGTCTCTGAGGAGTTTTCAGACTGAACATCAACCTCAAGAGATTGATTGAGCAACAAACACTCCTTTAGACGACTATAACACAAACCTGCACTGTGAGATACGAGGTTTGTAGAAATGCTCATTCTGACGGCACCCATTCACTGCAGAGCATCCATTGCTGAGACACTGATGCAGTGCTACATTTCTACAAACCTGATGAAGAAACAAACTCATCCTAATCTTGGACGGCCAGCAAATGTCCATTTTTGTGTGAACTATTCCTTTAACCTTAGCTTACACATCACCACTAGATCTACATGTGAAAGACACCAATCAATTTTATTCACAAAATGTTCTCATGAAAAACTGGGTCCTTGATATTTTTGTTAATAGTATTGGTTTTATAAAAGCAATAATATATCTCAGCCAAATATTGTCCTAACAAACCATACATCAATGGAAAGATTATTTATTCAGATTTCAGATGATGCATTAATCTCAATTTTGAAAAAATTGACACTTAAGACCGGTTTTGTGGTCCAGGGTCACATATTTGATTCACCAATGAAAGTCATTTGTAGCGGTGAGATCAGGTAGCATTACAGACTGACAGGTTTCCAACAGTGACCCCTCTCTCTCTCTCTCTCTCTCTCTCTCTCTCTCTCTCTCTGACCTTTATCAGCTTTACACAGTCTTATCAGAGAGCAGCTGCTTTTATTTGTGAAAGCATGTTATCAGTGACCCAGTACAGCAGAAACGGTGAATAAGGGAAAAGAGCTTTATCTGCAGGCACCGTCATTAATTGGAAAAGTGGAAATCAATTTACTCCAACAACACTCGCAGAGGCAATTATTCTACATTCACAAACATCTACAGCAGAGCGAAAAACTGATACAGCTCGATCTGAAGGAAATCTGAGTGCTGCTGGCCCTGCAAAACTCAACAGATAAGCAGATGGCTTAAGCTGAATTTTTAAGGTTAAAATAATTTCCTGCCGCATTGTAATATGCAAAGCAAAAAATACATCAAATATACATAGGTTGATTAAAAATGTAAAAGCATGCATCTGATCAGGTAACTGCAGGTCAGCTCTGCTCAACAACACACATGATTTGAGGAATCATTGATTCATTCATGCACAATAGTAAAAGTGATGTGTGAATTAATAAACTCCACTAACATGCACACAGAATGGCAAATGCATCACTTTGGTGTTCGACAGAAGAGCGTCCGTCTGATGTGTGACTGTAAACATCTCTGAGACCAAAGCTAAACATCCCTGGAGCCAAGCCTGTGCCACATGCACAGATACACCAGAGAGCAATGAAGGGCAGAAAACAGCTCCAATTAGTCAGTTCACCTTAGCTGCGCATTATGCATGCAGATAGCAAATTAATTTAATATCTATAATTAAGCAGCTCATCAAGGGCAGAGGCTCGTCTGGGGCTCGAGAGAGAGACGCTCTGATGTCGTCACTGCATCCAGTTCTGATGCTTTGGAGGGAACTTTGCACTCTAAAGTTTATGTTTGATCCAAGGAATGCAAGAATAGTCTTTAATCTGAATGTAACTAGATCATATCCTCTCGCTCCAGGTTTTATTCCTCCACCTGTTCGGACAGATCAGCATGCATTGGAGTATTTGGGTGAAATTCAAGAGACTGTATATTTAAGCCTGGCCAGAGGCGTAATACAGCCTGAGGATACAGCGTTAATCACACGCTGCATTTTGACATTTAGACACATCACAGCATTAGTTATATTAACAATTAACAACATTTAAAGTCTTAAAATGTCAGTTATTGATTGAGATAATGAAGGAACAGATGGACTGACTGACCATTTGTTCACATTATTAACACAGAACAGAACTAATATATCTAGTGTAAGGCACAGAGACTCAAAGTGTGACGATTGGTAAAAAATATAAAGCAACACAATTTGTGTGAAAGGAAATGATAAAAGAAGATATAAAGGCAGCAAATGAACCTTTTAGCCCACACTGCTGGGAATCAACGGGTGATGTAGTGCAGACAGAGGCACATACAGCAGACAGATGGGATCACATCGAGAGAGAGGAATTACCTTACAAACAGCTCAGCAGCCCCCCAGCATCGGCAAAACAACAGTAAAAGAACCTTTCCACTACAGCGCTTCTGTGACTTTACAAAGAAAGAAACAGAGATTACTCTGGTCGGAAGAGAGGAAGACGTCAAATGTGCTGTCGTGCTCTCAGACCATGTGTTCGAAACACTCAAACAAATCTGAGTTAGAAATGCACACCGCATTATGATGAATGTACGTTTATAACTCACTTTGTGTTTTAACTCTATATGCATATTA